TTCAATCATCTTAATTTCTCAACTACAGATTTTTTTTAATCATATTTGTCTTCTAATCACTTTTTTTTAAAAAAAAAATTCTTATAAGAATTCTTGCCATAATAAATAAAGAAATTATCTTACTTATATCTTTCTTCGTGCAAAATTCAAATCCACAAATCCAAGAAGATATAATATATTATTAAATTACGCTATTAAATTAGTCCTAATTAACGCTCTAAATGATGGTATAGCATCCAAATCATATGGTCAAAATAATTCATTTGCTAAATATCTCAAACTCTTTATAAAAACTAGAATTAGTGTCTCTAATCGACAGATGAACTAAGTCTATACTACTAATGGCATTAGCTGACATCCTTCTCCAAATAATACAAAAGAAATGCTACACGCCATTTATTTTTGTGAGATATGGTCGAATCAAGAATTGCTTTTGCGAAATGTTGGACTAATCATTTAACGATACGCCATACATAACGCAACGCCGGTAATATGTCCGCAAATTTTATAGCACACACAAGACCACCAATTCACACTTTCAATAGCGAATTAGCTTCTCAAGGTGGTGCGAAGAATCGAAATCTTAAGCAAATTTGTCGCAATTGAAGCAATCAACCATCATACTAACTTGTGAACTAAACATCAATATCAACCCATCTTCCCAGCCAAAATAGTTGTATTTGTAGAAAATCCCAATAAGGAATTTAATATTACAATAGATTATGAGTTTTTGGGAGAAAATTCTCCGAAATTTCTGGTAGTATTCTTAAGAATAGTATTTTTACTGTCAACTTCCTAGAATAAAATTTTCCTTTTTTCTTTCCTAGTTAAGAAAAACTCACATCCGAAGTTTTATTCCTAAAATTATTTAAACACTATCTCAACTACCACATCCATCTTTATATTGTTTTCCTGTTTATTTTTATTTTAGAAATTTTAGAAACTACCATTTTTTGCAATATCAAACAACGCACAGCTGCTACTAAATCCTCAAATTCGATGACATGAAAAAAAAAAAAAAAAACTAAATTGTGATGTTTCTATCATTACCTTGACCCAAATCTTTTAATTTTGCCGCAATCTTTTTTTCGCGTCGTTTCTTCATCACAATTTCTGGATTGGAAATTGTTCGTGTAAATGTTGTTGGCGGCAAAGCTTTATATAATTCTTCAGAAGCTCGTAACTTTGGTTCCTGTTGCTCAACTGCTGAAACTTTGCCTCGTAGTTGAAAATCATTCTTATCAACCTTACTTTGTTTGCAGTATTCTATTCGATACCATAAGTTGACTATTCTTTCGGCATATTTTCTCCCCTCCCCCGTTTGTATTTTCAATTTTTATATCAAAAAAAAATCTTTCTAAATCTTAAAACAACCACCGCCATATACTGAAATAGAAAAGGTTTGGCATTTGAATTTACATTCATTAACACCATAAAAAGAATAACCGATCAGCAAGCACATCTGAGAAATAAAACGCTAACTACACATTAAAGTATTACTAGTGAAATCTACAATACAGATCAGGTGGTTGATAAAAGATCATCCTTTATCCAATTAATGTACGAAAAAAAAAGTTTAACACTAATAAAAAAATAAACCCTGAATAAAAACAAACTTTAGTTTTAATCTCAATGAGCTACAAACATAATGTAGTATGAAATTAATAAAGCTGAAACCTTTTTGATGCTTCTTTTTCAGTTCTTTTTCTTCCTTTTTCGAAAATCTTTTTTGATTGCCAGCCAGGCCATATGTAGTGTCCTAAAATAATTTTTCCCTTCAAAATTATGAATTCTATCCTGAGAAAAACTGCAGATCCTTCCTTTCTCCTACAAAAGTCAGTCATATCGGAAATGGTAAATAGCAGCAAGTAGTAAACTTTGTAAAGTAGGTTCTATAAAACTTCCTATAATATAATCCATTTCAGAATTACCTACGAGTTCCTCCTATTTTTAAGCGTATACAACTACTTCTGTCTTATACGATTGTAGTGCTTGGACAATAATTTTACAATTTAGAATCAAGTAGTTCAAGACTCCCTTAATTTCTATTTACTTCAAAACTCGGACCATATAACAATTTAGCATAAATTCAAATTACATGATTATAAATCATCTAGTTTTTCAAATCGCTGATTTTACGAAAATTTATACCTTGACAGAAGTAATATTATGGTGTGCCCTCAACAGAAACCGACCTTCGCGATCATCTTTATGCCAATTAAGCTGTACAAGTAATGGTTTCTCATTGGGTGCTAAGCATCGCTCATCGCCATTTTCATGAACCTCCCATAAGGTATATTCTGGATTGCTGAGCCTGAAAATTAATCTTTTGTCCAGACTAGTATCAAGTGCTTAGAGTAAAAACCTAAGGTGCTGGTGTGAGTTCTTTCCGCTAACGTGAAAGCATCCATAAACTTACATTTTCAAATCAGGATGAAATTTATCAACCAATGCACTGATAACTGCTCGAGTTGTTGCTGTACTGGAAACACGGATACATTTCGTCAATACCTTATCTTTTGATTCTTGAAAATAGAATCGCATCACACCATGAATTTCAAGATCCTGAAATCTCACGAAAAAAAGTTCTTGATTCCACAAATGAATAGCAATAAACAAAAGCAAGTATAAAACCATTTTATAAATAATCTATTTTTATCCACTTATTATTACATTTAGATAAGACATCTATACTATAAGTAAAAAAAGACAGTACTCAAATAAAATAAGCAAAAAAATATGCCGAAATTATGGATTAGAAATAAAGTGAATCTTTTATTATTATTTCGGCATAAGAACTGTGAAAAAAAGTGCTAAAATGTATTATAACTGTTGTAACTCATTTTTCAGTTTAACGCTAAAGAATTAATTAGTTGTAACAATAGTCGAATAAAAAAAAAAAAATAAAACCAAATTTACAGTAAAAAATTTTAGGAAGACTGGAAAACTTTCGGTTTGTACAGCTTCCTCAAATAAACAGAGTGGATTATAATAAATCAGTTAAATATGCTCTTCTTTCTTATTAAATGGTAATAAATTATATTAATATATATATTAAATAATAATATATGTATATATTAATATAAATATTAAATAATAATAAATTATGATTTTATTTGTGCAAATATACCCTTTGTTTTAGTAATTTCATGCACAAATGTTATAATAGGTAAATTTAAACTTGCACATTCTTGTGGGAAAGCTTAAGCTAAATCGATATTTTCTTACAAGTTAATCCACAAACATTTTAACTTTTGTCAAAAAATTCGAATCGAAATACCTCTGTTGGATAGCTTAGATTGAATAAATCAAGCCGATTTTCATTCCACTGATCCACCAGTTGCCAAAGTGCTTCGCGCTCGACTTCCTTGGCAAGCGGTAGCCTGCTGAGCATGGTCGGTGCACCTTCTTCTTCCCTGAAACTAAAATACTTCCTCGAATTAATTTCTAATACATTCAAGAAAGGTAAAACGTTCATTTATTCAATTTTGATCTTCAAATCTCACACTAAAAAAAGCTCTAAAATAAAACAAAACTTAAGAAACACTCAAAAGGGCAAAATCAATCTCAAATCAGAAATTATTTGAAAATAAAAATTGAAAAAAAAAATGATCTAGATTCTGTCCCGTCATGAATAATTTCCAGATTGATTTCTTTTCTCAAGACAAAATCGAAAAAAAGGGATTTATTCAGAAGGGCGAAAAAGTCGAAAAAGAAAAAGGAAAAAGGATTTATTTGAAATGGAAAATAATGAAAATAAGAAAAGTAATTGTTAATAACTTTTAAAAAATCTATGAGAAATAATAATCTAGCCCGTAATAAAATTTACAACAATAAAAATAAAAAATTATTTTCCATGAATATATTGGAATATTTTCCGTATAACTTAATATCACCAAATAATACATTTAAAATATCAAATAATAAATAAAAATAGAAATGTTTACAAAATATTTCACTAAATATGAAAGAAATACAACAAACAGTACTGAAATGATGACTAGACTACCTGAAATTACCAACTGAATGCGAGCAACAAACTGAAATCACAAAGGTCACATTATCAAAAGGTCACATGTAAAGGTCATTCATTCAATGTCAACAATCCTCAAACCATCACTGAATTGCTTCGCCATTCATAACAAACAACTCTCCTCCCCTCACTCACCGTTAAGACCTTTAACCTCTACGTCTACCTTATTTCATCTTCCAGCACGTGGTCCGTTAAAATACGTCTAAACGGGAACTATTAATGCTTACGCAGAATGCAACGCAGAATTGTTTTCTGCTTTCTCTATTTTCGGGTCCACTACTCGTTTTCCTGTAATCTCTCACAATTCTTATCAATCTTTATCGTCTCTCCATTATTATATCACGTATTAAACAATATTGCTATCATTTTTTGAATTTATAACTACTGAAATATTTGCTATACTCTTTTATTTATTCTAAATAATTTTTATTTTTATATTATTTAAATTTTGCTCGATGTGTAATTCTTTTTAGCTATTGTAATGTTTATTTAATTACACTTTCTAATTTGAAACTTTTATTTTATTCATTCTATATTTTTTAAAAGTTTGATTGGTTTTCAAATTGAAAAAGGTAAGAAATATGTTTGTAATGAGTATCACATTTAAATTCAACTTTTCAATTCTCTTCGATCTTTGTTTTTTTTTGTTTTTATTACAAGTTGTTATATTACAACTATGCTTTTTTCCAGATGATAAGATAATATGCAAATAACGTCATCATTTGCGCTGACGTCAAGAAATAGATAGCTTACAATAGCGTCGAATTATCTTGGTTATTTTTAGAGAATATTTGTTATTTGTCGTAGTAATTATGCAAAAAATTTGCGATAAATTTAAAACTATAAGTTTATATATTACTAATTTTAATCCATGAAGTATTTAACAATGGCATTTCAGTATTATAACAATGACATTTCAGATGGAAATAAAATTTTATGCTTTTAAAAAGCAATGCAATGTAACGAAATGACAACTGACAACGATTCAGAAGGAATTCGTTATGTGATAATTGATGAAAATCTCGAAAATGGTGAAAGAACCGATAGCTATTCATTTACAGTATCCGGATCAACGGTATATCATCAAAATTTATTATCACTGCAACAACATCACCGTCATCTTTCTCAACAGCAACAAATGCTTAGATATGACTGTTCTCTTCAAAATGGTTGGTTGCTTACCTCCTTTATCTTAATGTCTTGCTTACTATTCTAGGTTGATGTTTTATTTTTAATAAATTATCCAGTGTTTGGGAGAGGTGATACTTAGTTATATCTGTGAGATTGAAATGAAGACATGATACTGTTTTGGATGTAAAATGTAAAATACCTGAGTCTTTTTTTCTAAAATTTCGTACAGGTTATACTCTGGATCAGGTTGCTCCAGTATTGAAGGAGGCACATTGAAGTGAATATTTACAGTTTTCGTACATGTACTGCCTTAAATATCATATTTAATTGCACATTCATGTTAATAGAGTCGAATTATTTTGAATAAGTCAAGCAAAATTTCATAGTTATTAAGTATCACTTTCGTACTTTATTTGTTTCCTTATTTGTTCAGCTGTTTGTTTATTTAAACTTAATTGTAAAAATATATTCTATTCAAGAATCGTCAACTTCGACATGGGTGGATAATTCATACAGTATACCAGTTTCAAATAATGTAAGTTCAGAAACATGTTTAAGTTTATTTGCATCGGACTGTACAATGAATTTTTCCTTATTTTTTCTAAATATTTTCCGAAAAGGTCGAATTAATTCAGTAGCATACTGAAATTAGTTCAGTAAATACCAAAAATTTCGAAAATTTCTGTGAAATAAATAAAAATTGCTCCTAATTTTGCAGAAATTCAGTAGTGAAGACATAAATAAATCTTGAACTAGAATTTAGGAAATACCCAATCTTTTAAGGCAGCACCTTATCGCTGATAACCATTTCGATAATGATATGACTAAAATATTTTTACTATAGCAGATCATTCTATTTATACATCCAGATTATCGCTCTGTTGATATTTGTTTCTTCTAAATAAATTATGGCTACTTGCAGACACACTATTTGGCGCGATGTAACATTTGTGATGCTCTCTTTGATTTAGAGGAATATCTGAATCATACGAAAAATTGTAGATTAGAAAAGTCTTACAAGTATGTTTATTTATTTGCTTCTTTAAAATTTGTTTTTCGTAAGTTTTCTTCAATATTATCAAATATGATGAGAAATAATGAGACGTAGTTTATTAAAATTCAATGCTTCAGTAAAATTTTAAACAGTTGGTATCAGTGTTTTTTATGTAATAAATAAATCAAACAATTTTAATTTTAATTTAATACAAATTGTTGATTAAGTAATTTTAGATGTGACATATGTGGTAATGAATATAATAAGGAACATAATTTGAAGCTACATCATCTTGGACAGCATGATAAGGCAGTGGTTGAAAATGATAAATATATATGTTCGTTTTGCCCAAAAAAATATGCTCGATTAGCAGCTTATTATGCTCACCTTCAAATCCATGGCTTGAATGATTCCCTTATATGTACATTTTGTAAAGAAGAATTTGATTTCCAGGTATATTATCAATATAATTCATGTAGAATAATCTTTCGTTCGGAAATCTCAGTCTGATTGCCTCATTTGAATGATTTTGGTCAATTAGGATCAAAAAACAAGCGTAATACATACACACATATGGAATTTTACAAACTACTACAGCTGGATGCCGATTTCAAAGGCTAGGAAATCTAAAATGCCGAAAATTTGATAGTGAAGTTGAAAGTTGATTGCTACAATTAATGTAATCAATTTAATAAACTCGTATCTCACTGCTTCAATATTTGGTCTGTTAGTATAAAGCGGTGAATATCTAAACTGAATGTCGAACAGTTCTAGATCTTAGTTGTATAAGCTGATATATGAATACTAGAAACTTTTTGCTTTTGTTTTATTTTTCTCATTTTAGGTGCTTTTAAACAAACATTTACGCCTGCAGCATTGCTATCCTCGTTTGGAAGATATCGCTACTGTTGAAATATGTAAGAAATGTGGTATTGTTATTTTCAGCAAAGAAGCAATGGATGAACACAAACAAATACATCGGAAAATAAAGTAATTTTCATTGGGTTTGATTGTTTTTGAAATTTTTGGATGTGTAACTTGTTTCTAAGTAAAAGCCATTTTTTCTGAATAACATCAGAAATATTCATTAATTTGACAAATTTTCAAAAAATTAGTGGTTAGTGGGAAAATAGATCTTAAAGTGAAAAAGATATCTTTGATAATTATTAAAGTTTCAGCAACGTCGAAATTTCAAGAGATGTTCAGTTTAGTTCATATGTATTTATGACGAGACTATTGTGTATGCTTATAATAAAGCTTATTGTGATTGATTTTATTAATAATTTTCAGCAAGACAATGAAAAGAAATAAACGAAAGCGTGAATCATATTCTGGTGATGGAGCTCATAAATGTGAAGTTTGTAGCAAAACTTTTAAAAAAAAGTTTGAATTGATACGACATTATGTTGTCCATACAAGTAAGCTTTTTTTGATTTCATTTTAGTCCTTTAAATTTAATTTTTTTCCTTTATTAAAATTTGCTGTAAAATTCGCCCCATATATCTCTCGTATCTCGAGATAAAGCTATTAATGCTGTTGTAAAATATGGCTTGAAATTTATGAAGGATTTTCTTCTGTGATCTCAAGTGTATTATGGTCGTTATTTAATTCATTATTGAACTCTGTTACTGGGTAATTTCATTGTTAGCATCGCATCACGATAGAGATGAGGAAAGCACTGTACCAAATATAAGTTGAATTTTGTTGAGAGAGAGAGAGAGAGAGAGAGATACATCTTAGCAATAATTTATATTCATATAATTATATGTAATTCTACATCAGAAGAACGTCGCTTTGTATGTGAAATTTGTGGAAAACGATTCTCTCAAAAAGCTTCTCTGGGACAACATACGCTCACGCATAATGCATCTACTGCTCAAAATCATAAATGTTCACTTTGTGATGCAACTTTCTCACAAGTAAGCTTTTTTTCAATGAACAATTTATTATATTTAAACGATGAATAATTGAATTTAGAAAATACAGCGTCTCTTTTTTTTTTTTTTTTTTTCAATTATCTAATTCTATGATGCATTAGTAACACAAAATTTCTAATCTGGTTCAGTTATATCGCATCTTTCCAATATTTTACTATTGTTTTATGAATTGTATTTCTTAACTATTGTCCTTAATTTTAATTACCTTTTATTTTTTAACTTCAGTATTTTTTTCTTCACTTTCTATTCCTTTTTTGGCAAATCTTTATAAATATATACATATATTTTGCTTATATTTTGTTTTCCTGCATGAATTAGGAAAAAGAAGCTTTTCTTATAGTAGATTTTCCACGTTGTTCAATTTAAATCTTTTTTATTCTAGAAAAATTTTTAAATTGTCTGACTTTAAAATGAGAATTCGATCTTTAGGCTGGAAATTTACGTCGGCATGTGAAACTTTTGCATCCTCCAGATGCTACATCGCGTGCAGTTTTTCGATGTTTCAAATGTAGTTGTGTATTCAATTCGTTGCAGCCGCTACAAGTTCATGCTCGAAAACGGCATCCAGAAGAAGGTTTGATGAATTAATTTAAATTGGTACAATTTATTGAAATATTTTGGATTCAGAAGCATTTTTTTCATCTTTTCAACTTGAAATTCTTCCTATACTTTTTAACATCTTTTGCACTTTCTCAGCTTCTTGTAACTAAAATTTTCAATTAGGCTCATTTTTTTTCAGTAACCCTAAAAAATTCTATGATCGCTGAAGAAGGAACTACTAATTTACAGGTACTTTGTAGAATTTTCGTAAATTAGATTTTGAATAAAAAGGTTGGTGATTGAGATTTTTTTATTCAAATTTTTAAGCTCATACTAATTTTTTTGCTTATCAATTTTCTTAATTTTTAAAAATATACTGTCACATATAAATTTAAATATATTGCAGTTTTAAACGCTTTCATACATAAAGCTGCTTCTACTATAAATAATTCTGCAGTTGAAAGCTTTATTATTAATGCGGTATTTTTTGCTGAACAATTTGAAATTAAAAAGGAAGTTTCAGGAATTAAAGAAAAATAAGTTGTTTTGTTGCTCTATGTGCGGGAAAGGTTTTGGCAAAACATCCGATTTAATGCGACATTATCGAATACATAGTGGTGAACGACCATTTTCATGTAATCGATGTGGTCGAGATTTTAACTTGAAATCTTCATTAAAGTTACATATGGATAGTCATGTTCGTGCTGACCATCCCGATAATTATTACACATGTGCACGATGTCCTGTTTGCATGAAACAGGTAAATAAATAAATAAATAAATAAATATATATATATGCGTAAATATGTTTAATTTACTGGTCTTCAAAGGTTCAAGGCTTCAAAGGTTCTTGTTGGAAATAAAAATGTTAGGAGAATTGAACTGAAATAAAAAAAGTGTAATTTTCAGTTAGCATCGGCACCATCATTACGTCGTCATCTTAAAATTCATGAAAGACCATTGGAGCATTGTGGAGTGTGTTCGCAAGTAAATATATTTTCATTTGTTTTACATCACTTACATATCTATTCTTTTCTTTAGCTATATTATCACTTATCATATGTGCATTACTACTTTAATACATGTCTGCACTTTGCATTTTTAGATTTTTCTGAGCAAAAAAGCATTGGAGCAACATCAAATAGCCTGTTTAACAGCAAATGCTGAAGTTGGCTCATCTGGAAGTTTGCTGGAACTTTTACCACCTACTGAAAATACTCCTGTAAATACTGAACCGGAACGAAGACCCTACAAATGCCGCACCTGTACGGCATCATTTTCAACACTTCGCTGTTTAAAAGAACATATTAATCGACACACGGGCATTAAACCACATATATGCCGATTATGTTACAAGTCATTTTATTCCTTAGGTACGTCATATTATAAAGTAATATTTCAGGAGAGAGTGTTACTTTATGGGATAATTATTTTTTTTCGAATGCTGCAAAAATTTATCTTTCATGAGTACAAACATCACGGACATTACCTAAAATTAACTAAAACGATGTCAATATTTGTTTGTGTAAATATGAAAACTTCCTCATAACAATCCTTAACGTCTTTAATTTGCTTATCTCTCTGTTCAAAAATTACTTCAAAATGCGAAACTAAAATTAGATTTTTTTTTTATAGCTCAGTTAAAATGTCACAGCGAGATACATACAAACAAGCGGCCATTCAGATGTTTAACCTGTGATCAAACATTCAGACGTCATTCTCAACTAAAAGCGCATGCAAGCAAACACCCACGACCAAGCAGCTTAATGAACTTTGTAAGTTATATTATTACTTCTGATACTTGACTTAATTAAAATCTATCACTGGCATTAAAACAATTCTTCATTTATTTTGAGTTATTTTTGATTTCGAAACTATTTGAATGACTAAATGTATCAGATAATGAAATGCTTAACTATTAAGCTAAACATTGATCTTAACTGCTAACGGAAAAATTGATTTTAAACGAGCTGAGTAATGTTTGGGAGAGTGATATGTTTTCAAATAAAATAGATATTTCAGTAATGCATTGATTGCTGTTATTTTGCTGCTAAATGATTATTTCAGGAATCTTTTTCATGGTCACCCGATAATTTATTCAGTAAAAGTGTGCAAGATGATAATGCTCATTTTAGTGAAAATGATCTTACCAACTTTGATTTTTCATCATTGGACGCTGATTCGAAACAGTTGAATATAGATGATAGTTCAGCTGAGGTAATTAACAAATAATTTCATTCATTTTGTTACTTAGCTAGCTCGTATAATAATCTCGAGTTATATGAGAAGTTTTTAACTCAACATCTGTTGGTGAAATCGGAAAGTTTGAGGAATTTGAAGAAAGTTCTGTTAAGCTAATTCAGCTTAATCTTTTGGGCTTTGAAAGCGTAATAATACTGGTAAATATGATAGAAAACCTAAAATTATTGGAATCTAAGGCATTTAAAATATTAAATGCAGAAATATTAAATAACCAATATAGAGAATGCATATTGTTTCAGTAACAGAAAAAAAATTAGTCTTCATCAAATTTAAATGATGAATTGATTTTTTCAGACATCCTATTTGAATAGTTGTTTGATATCACAGGACTGCGATTTAATAAATGGCTTAGCAGTTGAAAAATCTCAAGAGACCCGTTGCCCTGTGTGCTTTTTTAGTTTCAGTTCAGGTATATTTACTAGCTTTTTTTGTCTATTGTTTTATATTTCTGTAAAAATGATGTGGAATTCGTAGTGATTTATAGATGCTACATTATCAACTCATTTGTACAATATGACTTCTGATCCACTACACAGTCTTCCTGTTTTGGCATGTAATCATTGTTCAAAAACGTTTTCCGGATGCGTTGGCCTTGCTGATCATTTACAAGCATTTCATCGTCCTGTAAGTTGTTTAATTTTAAACATATTTTATTATTATTTTTTTTTTTCAAATTGAATTTTCTTGCAAAAATATGAAAGATGTCAAACAACAAAAATTTCGTCCTGCAGCCATTAGCTTGACAAAAGGGTATGTGATTAGATGACTTGTTCGTTTGCTTTTTATTCAACTTGCAATTTACGGTTTTTAGTAAGAATTATTAAAAGCATTAAATGAATGGTTCAAAAATTTGTTCAAACTTGAGTTCATTTGGGAATATGAATTAATGAAAGGAGGATTTTTTTTTGTCCATAAAATAAGTCTAATATTTGTACAGTTTTGAAAAGCTTTGATAAGAAATATACTTCGCTCAATTGGTTTTTTTTTTTTTTTTTTTTATCCTGATGCAAATGAAAAAGGAAAAAAAGCAAAGGAAAGAACTGATTTTAATTAAAATAATTCTTTTTTTTTTTTTTTTTTTTTTTAATGGAATTATTTGCAGAATCAGCATGAAGAACGAAGTTTCACCTGTGATGCGAATTTCTTACTTAAGGAAGATCAGGTGTGTGTAGTTTTTTGACTTAAAATATGCATATTTCTGGGGAGAGGGGGGTTGAAATCAATTTGTTTTTGACTTCGTTACGCTAATACTAGTAATTAATTAGTGGTTTATTTTTGATTTTATTCCTAGAATTATTGCAAATATTACCAATGATTGTTTGGCATGCCACATATTGGATCTGATCTGTTATCTATTATGATCGATTGATCCAATGATTACAGCGATATGTACCGTTTGGTTGAGATGAAGAAAAAATGTCAGCTATGTGTCGGAGATTAAATATAATTCCCACCATAGTTGAATTCATAACAACTATAAGTTATTACCATTTGTAATTTTCCTTCAGCGATCGCATGTATGTGATGTATGTGATCGGCGATTCAAAAAACCATCAGATTTGGTGCGACATAAAAGAATTCATACAGGTCATTTTTATCATTTGTTTGTTAGGCTTCTTGAAATGAAATATTTGGAAAGTTAGTTGCAGTTTTTTTTTTTTTTTTTTTTTGCAAGGTTTGACAATGATCGTTGTTTTAGTTACCTGTATTTTTCAAAAACTTTTGATAACACATATGATATCATTTTTTTTATCTTTAAATTAATTGTATTTCAGTGGAAAGTTTTTTCTCAAATATTTGTTTTAGGTGAGAAACCCTTTTCATGTGGGATATGTGAACGATCTTTCCGAGTTAAATCAACGTTATATCAACACTTGAAAATACATGAGGATTTGGGTAATGCACGTGAAATGTGTACATTGTGTAAACGATGCTACTGTTCATTATCAGCATTACGACAGCATTTGTATTTAGCTCATGCGGAAGAGAAATCTTTCAAATGTACGAATGAAACATGCAACGAACGGTTTAAGTAAGTCCATCACAGTTTATTGCTTTTGAAAAGCATGTATTTTTTTTTTTTTTTTTAAAAAAAAACTACACTTTTGTTATTATAAGTGCACAAAACATCTAGATTATAGGACTGCTCGTAGCCGTGATGCACACGTCAGACAATTCCATTCGTACATAACTGCTGACGGTATTAACCATCATCAGTCATCACTTGCTGCCAGTGAGCAATTCCAGGCAACTGCCTTACAGCTAGCGCCTGATCCTAAAAATGCAGGATTTGTGCAACCTTCATTTAATTCTGCCTTTTCACGTATTGTAAACAAGGTTTGTGAAATGAAAATGCTTTTTTTTTTTTTTTTTCTCGATTTAAAGTTGCAATCTTCAAAATAATTGGTGAAAATATCTGGCCCGATTAGTCGATTTTTGTTTTAGGACATTAATAATACGACAACGCATCTTGTATTAAGACTACAGCCGCATCTGAATCCACAGACTATTGAAGTGACAATTAATGAAATTTCGTAAGTTACCAGTTGCATGGATATTTCATACTATTTGAGCTGTTCTTCACCTACTTAAGAGTTTATCAAAATCTTGAGAAACCACTCATAAATTTGGTAAGATTCATCAAGGTAATGATCTTAAATTATTAATTTCAGCTGAAGTAAAAATTTTCACTACAAACCGTTACTTTTATATGTTTCAATTGTAGTGTTAGCAATGTAAATGAAATAAATAATTGTGGTGCAATTGTGATTCCGATGCAAATGCTGCGCTCCTTATTACCGGAAGGTGTAATGCTTCGAATTGCTATTTCTTATCCGTTCCTAAATGCTGGTTCATTTATAATTGTCGATTCACGACGCATGTTTTCTTTTTTGTCAGAAAAAAGAGTAAGCTATTTTCCTTAAAATTCAAGTTTTATAGGAAATTATCGGCATTAAATTGATATAGCACAAAGGTTTCAGTTAAGAATTGTAAATATTTTTGATTACTTAATTGTGCCATTTAGTAAATGTATTGCATTTACTAATTGTTGATCACTTATTTAAATGATCAGATGCCATGGTTGAATTATTGACCAATTTTGCTGTATACTAATTAATTCATTCATTATAGACGGATACAATAATGGTACCGGTGAACACATCCGTAGAACTTACCAATTTACCATTAAGTTTATATACAAGTGCTCAAGATTTCGACTCTTTGGCACAACCACCAACATTCACTTCCAATTGTGTTATTTGTGATGAAACTTTTTCCACTCAACAAGAAAGTGATGCACATTTCAGTAGTGAAGATCATGAAACAGCACAGGTAGGTAGCTGATAACATATTATGACATCCAGAAATAATTTCAAACCACGATAGTTCTACTATTTAGATTCAAAAATAATAGTTTGCAGTTAAGTGACCTTTTTTTTTTTTCTTTCAGTTTTTCTCGCTTCCGCAATTAACACGTCATTTGGATGGAGCAACAGCAACAGTAAACAACAATCATTTTCAACCATTCATGTGAATTTGTTTTGTATTCTATGAATATTAGCATTTTAATATTAATCATAAAGTTAGGCATTAATCATTTAAGCATTAATCATAAAGTTAAGTTGATATTGATGAAACTTTTTTGAAAAGTTTTTTTTTTATAATAATTAGTTTTCCTCTAATAGTATGTTAACTAACAACTGGCTATTTTGATTAATCTCTAACCTGTAGGATTTCTAGAACAAGAATGGAAGTATGTAAGCTGTGCTTGGAGCAGTTTCAAGATCGCGAATGCTTATTGGCACATATCCGTCGGGAGCATGAACGAGACAGTATTGATTTGCTTGACCGAAATGATTTGTTGATTTGGCGTCGTACTTTGAATTAAATTAGTAGGAATTTTTGCTGTACATGTCTTTATATTAAACTATTTATTTCACTAAATAAATCGAATTATTTATTCATTCATTCCGAGAAAGTATTTGGAGTTTTTTTTTCTTGGTAAATAGAGTACTATTATTGCTTTGATTTTATCATTCGACTCACATACCTAATGGATTTTACACCGGTCTATGCAAACTATACATGATTCTGAAGTGCGCAGATTGCATAATATTGCATATTTTTGATTTTGATTTTTTTTAAAAGCTATCAATAAATAATTTATTTTGAATTGTTATTTTCTGTTCATGTGCTGTTAGCATATGTATAACATATTATCATTCCATTTTATTAAAAAAATTTATTATGATTATTCAAAATTTAAATTTTTTCTTCTCTTCAAAATGTAAAAAAAAAAAAATGCAATGAAATAAGGGAGTGAGCGAATGTTGTAAGTAGTGTATGAATAAATATCACATGATATCATATTTTGCATGATATAACTGAGCAAGTAATACAATGATATTCTTTTCAAGTCATCTTTGACAAAGATTATTTCACGATTATGAAGTGTAAATAATAGAGTAATCTCTTCTTGATATTTTGATATTGAGCTGTAATTATTTCCAGGATGAATTCAGATATTAAATGCGCGAAAATGGACTTTATTCGGTTCAAAAATTGTATTGTATCAAATATATCGCTATGGAAATATTGCAAATTTTATTCAAATTACTGCATAAATCTTGTTTTTATGGTATTTTTTTTTTTTTTTTTTTCAGGAAATACACTTTAAGAAATTTATCTTTAAATTATCTGTAAAATGTACATTACATATTGATCAAATCCAACGGTACGAATCATTTAATGAATGTTAACTTGGTTGTAGGATTATATGGTAGTAACAAATATTGTAAACTTCATATCAAAGATTAAGATGAAACTAGGGTGTATGAAATTGTGGTGTATTTCAGAAGGATTTCGATAGGTTACCACTTGTGGGTTTTTCGATTTGTTCTGGTTTTGAAATTATTAAACAGAAACTGCATCCAAATAATACGGTAGCGTACAAGAGTTGGGATTTACCAGAAATGCCGTTATGGGCGAAGAATCGTGTAGAAGCAGGTATTATGTTAAAGCTAATTTTTATCTTAAAATTTTTGTAGTTTTTCCTTTCTTTTCTTTTTTTTTTTCTTTGATTGACTTAAAAAGATAGAAGTGGGAAAATGTAAGCTAGCAAAGATTTATTTAATCAAGCAGCGATCCTAAATTGTTTTTTTTTTTCTCCTTTTTTTCTGAAAAATATCAAAATTTGGCGTAACTTATCATCTGTATAGCAATTTTTCTCATTATCTATTTGGCAAGTGTTGAGATATTGATAAGAAATAATAAGGTGTAGCCATGATAAGATAAAATTTTTGAAACTTTGCAAAGTATTATTTATTTAGTTGTTGATATTTTGAGAATTCAAATGCTGAAACTTTTTGATTATTTTTGAACCTACTTTTCAGACTTTCATTTTTTATAATATTGCATATGCTTTGTTTCAGAGGAATAATTCGTAGTTCATTTCATTTTAGAACAAGATGAAAAATTTTCATATTTAAATATAACCTCATATAATTTTGTTAGGGAAAAAACTGAACTTGCAAAAAATATTTGTGATGAAGTCGTTTCTCTTAATTCACTTGCACAGCACTTTTTGATTTAATCTATTCTTTTATTTTACTAGTCTTCATTTTTTTTCTTAAAATATTATAATTATACATACTTTTCTTGCTTTATACTTTTTTTATGATAGAATTATTACTTCAGATGATTATCTACGAATATTGTTACGGTTTGAAAATAAACGCTTAGGTGTCTGTTTTCGTCTTAATTCATTCCCACCATCATGTTATGTTTATTTCGATTATCTTCCGAATCACCCAATGGAAGAGTTATATTTAGCACTGGCAAACTGTAAAATGTTCAATGAACAGGTAAAAATTAAATTGTTTTTACAAATTGAAATTCAGCGAATAGTTTATTTAAACTTATTAATGTTTAAATCAGTTAGTTTCATTTTGTATGCAATGATTTGTGCATGAAAAATTCAAAACAATTGCAATTTTTTGATTTTTTTATCTGAAAGCGAGAAACTTTTCAAATGTTTTTTCGAATTAGAGGTTATTTTCAAAAATACTGTCTGAATAATGTCATGTGTGCTTTATACTGATAATCAAAATATCTTGATGATCCAGGTTGATTATCTTAATATATAGCCATTTCTAACATAAAATTATTATTTGGTTTGTTTGTTTATCTCTTCTTTTTTTTTTTTATTATTTATTATAAATTATTTGGCAGGGCATACCTCTTATTGCAATTTTAAATCCTCTCGAAATGTTTACATGGACAGTGCAAAAGAAATATAAGGCTGTCAATAAAGATGATCGAAAAGCTATTAAACCATCGATGGAAATCGTGACATCTACTGAGTCCAAGAAGGTGTTTCATCCTTTAATATTTTATAGTTTTTCTTTTTCTTAATATTTCTTTTTTTTTTCTTTTTCTTTTGATTTAAAACATTATTTACTTTAGCAGGGTTTTTCCCCAAAAAAAATGTGATCAATTTTAATTCTTTAATATTCTAGCCTCAATTTCTTGTTATATTTTGTGCGGTTTTTCAATTTCTAATATAGTTTCTTCATTATGGTGTAAAATCCGAAATAGTTAAACAATGTCGGGAAAATTTTGTTACATTAAACAATAAAGTTAATTAGATTGATGTGCTATGATTAGTAAATGAATCAGATGGAATATTTTGATTGATTTTTTTTTCCATTTTGTTTCACATTTCTCATTATTGAAAAAAAAAAAAAAAAGGAAATATTTTCTGATAATAATACAACAATCAGTTCGATCTCATTTCTTTATAGACCATAACACCATTATGTACATTTTGTTGGGAACGACCAATCGATGTGCTTTTTATGCCATGCAATCATGCAGTATGTTGTAAATTTTGTAAGGATAATTATATCAAACATGAACGACAACAAAATAAAGCAAAAAAGTTATCAATGGATATTGTGTGCCCAGTTTGTCGAAAAAAAAGTAACTTTTTTTCTTCTGTTTCTTTTGTTTGAAAACATAAATGATAGAAAATGCTTTGTTTTTAAATTTGGAAATGTTATATACATTAGTTATATACATTATGTTCATGTTAATTAAATGATTAAAATTAAAATTTTTTTCCATTATGAGAAATAAAAGAATCAATAGAAATGAAAGGAATTAATAGTTGAATTGAAAATTACAAGAATGTAAACAATATACATAGGAAAAATGATGAAACTTTTTAATTTCTCCTTATCATCTTTCTCTCTAGTGAAAAATTAAATTTTTCTTGTTTTATTTATAATTAAGGGAAAGAAATTTTCATTCCATAATTACATTTAAATTCTTTGGATTGATTTTTTGTTTAATTATTATTGATATTTGAATTAGTTTAATTATAATCTGAACTGATTAGATTTAAACTGTGAATGCAAACTTATCCAGATTTGGAAATTGGGAAAATTTAGTGACAAATTACTTCTTTTTTTTTTTTCAGTTGAAAGTGTTGCACAAATATGGTTTCCCAAAATTTGTCGTTGTTTACTGTGTACATATGATTGTAATATGATGTCAGCAGTTGCTGGTGGTGAAAATGGTTGCGGATGTGTTATTGGATGTTATGAGAAAGCGCGAAAATTATGTGATGAGGGTGGTTTATGTCCACATTGTCACAAAAAGCTTGTTGATGTGTTGCAAATTTTCATTCAAGGTGAGTGGGAACAATGATGAAGCATGAATTCGATGATTTTACAATTCAAAATTATGATAATTTTAGAATTATTAAATTTGTCAAAGAAAGTTTGTTGTTAAAATAATTTAGAAGGCTTTACTTGTTAATTTGAAAAGGAAGGAAGGAGGTATTTCAAAAGACCGTTTATATAATTAAAAATTGAAATTGAAATTTTGTTGAAGTGATAATAATAATAATAGATCATTTGCCATTTCAAAAGACCGTTTATATAATTAAAAATTGAAATTGAAATTTTGTTGAAGTGATAATAATAATAGATCATTTGCCATTTTCTTTCAAAAATTGTTTTAATTTTGTAACGAAAACATAATGAAAGTTTCTTGTATTCTATTATACTTTTTATTTTTTAACTCTTCTTTAAAATTTTGGTAATTCGAGGAGAATACTGAGGATATAGTTTACCAGTTTCTCTGTAATACTGTAACTTATCGTCTTTTTTTCATGTTATTTTACGGGTATCGTCACAAAAAGATGAAAAAAAAAGAGAAAAAAAAACGGAAGAGTTTTCCGATAATTTTTTATTGATTGTTTCTTTTTTTTTTTGTTGAATAAGTAGTGATTGATCATTGTGATTATCATATTGAATCGATATCTCTCTGTGTATTTTGTACAGACAAAATGTAATTCTTTTTGTGATCATTTTATGAAATTTGAGATGTTTTAAAAAAGAAAAAAAAAAAAACTTGGTCCAAAGTATGATATCCATATCCATTCATCTACTAATCTACGTGTAATCTTTGCGACTTTTAAAATAAATCTAGTTAAAATCGATTTGAATAATTTTTTTCAATCCAAATCATGAGTTTAAATTTTGAGGGAAAAATGAGTGCGAAATAAATTGAAGCAGAACTAAAGAAGCATAAAGAAGTCTTTGTGTTTTTATAATTTTATTCCCTTGATGATCATGGATATAAGTAAGCTGAAAATCTTTTAAATTACTAATTGTGAATGGTAGATGTTCATTTAAGTTTATGATATGATGTAAAACTTATCATCTCTACAAATATCCAAATCATTAGTTATATGATAATGAGGAAGAACTTTAAAAAAAAAAAAAATTAAAAGATAAAAAAGAACGTTGGAAAAAGTAATCATCTATCGTCCTTTCTACTAATTTTAATTTTATAAAGAAAAAAGAAATTTTTAATTTAATTTTTGTGAAATTTTAACGTATGATACGTCATAGAGTGCCATTGAAATTACTCTTTGTGTATCAATTTTAAATAACTTTAAAATAACTTTCTGTTGAATATCAGTATATTATATATAATATAATAAAGTTTTTGACATAATTAATAACAATAATTAGTAATAAATAATAATAACTGAACATAAACTTTTGACTTTACCGTTATAGTAAATTTATAGCGAAAAAAAACATTTTCAGCTTTTCTCAAATCCCAACTGTAAAACATTTATTTGATGGATTATAAAAGTGAAAACTTATCTGTGATACTACTGAATATGAAATTCAATAAACAAAAAAAGTTAGCACCTTAGATCATTCCATTTTGCATAATTATAAATGGTCTTAAGAATAGGTCAATATTTAATCTGAGAGTAATATGGTACATGGGTAACTTTGTATGGATTAATATGGTACATGGGTAACTTTGTATGGATTAATATAGTACATGGGTAACTTTGTATGGATTAATATGGTACATGGGTAACTTTGTATGGATTAATATGGTACATGGGTAACTTTGTATGGATTAATATGGTACATGGGTAACTTTGTATGGATTAATATGGTACATGGGTAACTTTGTATGGATTAATATGGTACATGGGTAACTTTGTATGGATTAATATGGTACATGGGTAACTTTGTATGGATTAATATGGTACATGGGTAACTTTGTATGGATTAATATGGTACATGGGTAACTTTGTATGGATTAATATGGTACATGGGTAACTTTGTATGGATTAATATGGTACATGGGTAACTTTGTATGGATTAATATGGTACATGGGTAACTTTGTATGGATTAATATGGTACATGGGTAACTTTGTATGGATTAATATGGTACATGGGTAACTTTGTATGGATTAATATGGTACATGGGTAACTTTGTATGGATTAATATGGTACATGGGTAACTTTGTATGGATTAATATGGTACATGGGTAACTTTGTATGGATTAATATGGTACATGGGTAACTTTGTATGGATTAATATGGTACATGGGTAACTTTGTATAGATTAATATGGTACATGGGTAACTTTGTATGGATTAATATGGTACATGGGTAACTTTGTATAGATTAATATGGTACATGGGTAACTTTGTATGGATTAATATGGTACATGGGTAACAGATTAATATGGTACATGGGTAACTTTGTATGGATTAATATGGTACATGGGTAACTTTGTATGGATTAATATAGTACATGGGTAACTTTTTATTTATATGGTACATGGGTAACTTTGTATTTATATGGTAACTTTGTATGGATTAATATAGTACATGGGTAACTTTTATGGATTAATATGGTACATGGGTAACGATATTAATGGTAACTTTGTATGGATTAATATAGTACATGGGTAACTGTTTTTTTATGGTAATATAATATGGTACATGGGTAACTTTGTATGGATTAATATGTACATGGGTAACTTTATGGATTAATATGGTACATGGGTAACTTTGTATGGATTAATATGGTTTCAACTTATATAATGGGTAATGTTATTAATTACATCAAATTTAATATTCAAATAATCATGGTAGATGAGATGGAGAACTTATGGTTAGATGATAAAAATAATAATAAAATAATATAAAACAATAGCTATATTAATTCGTATGGATTAGGATCGGAATGATAATTTAATTTCAAGTGGTAAATTTCTAATTTTTGCAATATTAATGTATATATATATATATATATATATGTATATGCAAAATCAAAAATTCTATTATTTATTATTATTATTATTATTATTATTATTATTATTATTATTATTATTATTATTATTATTATTATTATTAAAATTTAAATTATTAATTATTGCTAACACCATTGCTGATGTATTGTATTAATTATTTACAAATACTTGTTTATTGCAATTGTATTGTAAGGAGCTATTATCGTTGTTATAATTACGATATTAAGTTCTTTCCGGATTATATTTCAGGTTGCTGTTTTTTTTGGAATCTATCAACATGAATTGTTTTGTTGCACTATACATTGTGTTTCAAGGCTAGCTTCAACTTTATAGCTATAAAGTTTCAACTTCTATAAAGATTTATTAATTAATCAAATTTTTATTCAAACAATCAAGTAGAGAGAGAGAAAAAGAAGAGATAGAAAATAATAATAAAATGGAAGAAAAAAAAAATATATAAATGCAAGGACAGAAAGAATTGTTCAAAGCATTATCTTATATGTCCTCTTACAATAATAATAATAATAATAATTGCAGGGAAAATTATGTATATCATCCAAAATACATCCAAAATAATATTTTAATTATAAAATTTAAAATGAAATAACCACAACATTCAATGATATGTTTCAGAAGGAAAAATATATATTATGTATAAAACAAAGTAATAAAATTAAAAAAGAAGAAAAAAGGAAAGAAATATAATGGAATAATGAAAAGAAATGTAACAAAAAAAAAAATTTTTTTTTAAAAAAGCATAAAAAGAATTAAGAATACAAAAATCATAATAATAATAATAATAATAATAATAATAATAATAATAATAATAATAATAATGATAATAGTAATAATAATAATAATAATTATAATAATAATAGTGATAATAATATTGGTGGTAATAATTATAATAATATTTAGAATTCACTATTGGCAAATATTTAATTATTCAAATAAATACAAAAGTAAATCGAAGAAAATAAAATTAAACAAAAAGAAAAGGAGGAAAAAAAAAAGTTTTAGAATTGGAATAAAAAGATTTAAAAGATTTACTTTTTTTTTTTAAGCTTTTTAAAAAATTTAATCAATTGCACACTTTTTTTTATCACTTTCTATTTACTATTTTATAGTTTTAATATTTATAATAATTCAAAGTATAATAGTTCATAACTACTTTTTTTTATTATTATCATTGAAATATTTATCATCTCATTATCACTTACTATTAACATTTATAATAATTCAAAGTATAATAGTTCATAACTACTTTTTTTTTATTGTTATCATTGAAATGTTTATCATCTCATTATCACTTACTATTAACATTTATAATAATTCAAAGTATAATAGTTCATAACTACTTTTTTTTATTATTATCATTGAAATGTTTATCATCTCATTATCACTTACTATTAACATGCAACTCTTTTCTTTCTTACAGTAAATACAATAATATTTGAAAATAATTTTTAATGAAGAAAATTTCAATCAAGCACACTCGTACTTCGCTTGAATTGATAAATCATTTTGATAAAAAAAAAAAAAATAATAATGCTATCACTTAATTTTACAATAATAACGAAGAAAAAAAAAAACTGTTCGTTTATTCCTAGTGGAATTTAATTTAATCTTAACAAACAAATTATTTGGAAAGGTCAATTTGCTTAACCCTTTTCAATGTATTGAAAAGGTCAAATTTGCTTTTTTTTTTCTTTTTTTTTTTAAATTAACTTTCTGAATAAAATGCAATAATTCATGTAATAATATTATGAACACAATTAATACTTGACTTTATTGCTTAATAAATTTTCGTAAATGAATTTTATAAAATTCTTCAATAAATCAATTTAAATTTAATGGTATTTTTTCTAATTTTATATTTTATTATAAATTATTTTGAATTTGACTAAAAATTTGAAATGTTCAACAATTGGAGCAATTCATCTCAATATCTTTTTTTACAAATATATTTAGCATAAAATATACAAAAAAATTAAAATTAATCAATAATTATTAAATTTTCACACAGTATGAAGAATACAATTTAATCAATTAAAAAGAAAAAACGAATATG